CGCGACCGACGTGGTTTGCTCTTACCAGGCTCACCCCCTCTTGGCCAGGACAAGTTTCTCACCAAGCGCGTTCCACTACTCGCAAAGTGCCTATTCGCAAACGTCCGATATGCAGAAGTCTTCTTCTACGCAATGTATCGCACATTCCCCGCGGCGGATCCAAGCCGTTGGCGAGTATTTTTCTTGCGAGTGATGGAACGCGCTTGTCCAGTTTCGGAGTCCACTATGGGCCAGACCACCGGCTCGACCATGCCGCCCGCGCACGCGGGTTGGCACGGTCCACGCAACGGGCAGAAACCTTCGCCATGTTCCATCTCGTCCTCACGGTCGGAAGGCCGGCACACGCTTCTGTCGACAACTAGGCGGTCGTCGGCGGGCTCGAAAACTTGATCAGGGAGAAACGATCACAACTTGTGGGGCCGCAAGCCGATCTTCGGCAGAAAATCCATCGGGCGCTCCGAGCGAAACCCGATTTGTTCAAAGCCCAAAAAGTGACGAGCCACTTGGGGGGCAGCGCATTGACGACGGGCGCGCCACTCCGATCGCTGAAGATTTCAACCGGCATGCTGACAAACTTGCCACCTCAGGGGCGACGCTTCACAGCATCCCACAAAGCGTGGCAGATTCTTCCAAGTGGTGCCACAAGTTCGCCGCTGTCCTCCACGCAACGGCTGTCGCCATCTACGACCTGCGACGCGAGACTCTGCCGCTCCCCGCAGGAGAGCGGGGCACTCCAGGTCGAGCCCTCCAAGACGGCGCCAGATCCGTTCACCATCGGCCAGGTAGGGCATGGCCCAGGCGCGCAAGGAGGACCACCTGCCGTGGTCGGGCCACTAAGCCCCGACCATGTCGACGAACTCGATGGCCCTTGGTCCTCGCGCACGGACGATTTCGAAGGCGGAGAGTTCGACCCACTCGGGCTCGGGGCCTCCCTCAACGAGGGGGACGGAAACTTCCCCACACACAGGCACCCTTCTGGTCATGACAGCACAGCCGTGGACCACTCTGTTGAGACGGCGACCGCACAGCCCTCCAACGCCGTGATGCGTCAGAGCACCATGGCCACCCACCACTCCCAACGCAGCCAGCCCTCCCAGTCGGACCACCAAAGCTCCGACATGGACCTCTGCGAGCTCGGGGCGACGGCCATTGGGCCAGCGGGACCGCCCAATGCACGGACCGCAAACAATCCCTCACGCAGCACTTCTCGGCGGCAAGCAGCCAGAAACAAAGGGATCGCGAGACCACTCTCACCGCGAGTACACAAGCGTTCCACCGCCGGGCCAACCAGCTGGCATTCCCCCTTCAGCACTTACATGAACAATCAAGCCCGCTGATCGAAAGGTTCCACCGAGCGGAGGAGGCCTGGAGCGGCCTGCAACAGGCCTTCTGGCTTGCACTCGCCATGGAGGCATCATCCCCAGCAACCTCCGAGCCTTCTTCGACGTTCAACGGGCGGCACGCCAGTGCTAGCCACGAGCACAGCTGGCACCCGAACCGTCGCCCGCTGCCCCTGGGCCGCTGCGGAGGGGGCGCCCCACGACGGCGCCTTTTTCCCTTCGCGCGTCGCCGAGAGGCGTCGGCACGCCAAAGCGCGCTCAAAGCCGGCGCCCCTCTTGTGTTACCCCGGGCGCAGGCCGACCCCACAGCGGCCCGATCAGCACCGGCCGCCGGTTTTTCCACGCGGGGCCCGCGCGTGACCGCGCCAGCGGGCGTTTCCTACGCAGCGCCCCCCGGCAATGCGAGGACGGCCTGTCGGGCGCTCGCAGCCCGGCGACCGGGACAGACTGCCTGTACAATGCGGGGCGTTCTCTCTTTGTCTCTCTCTCTCTCTCTCTTTCTCTCTCTCTCTCTCTCTCTTTCTGCCTTTCTCTCTCTCTCTTTCTCTCTCTCTCTCTCTCTTTCTGCCTCTCTCTCTCCCTCTATTTCTGCCTCTCTCTCTTTCTCTTTCTCTCTCTCTCTCTCTCTTTCTGCCTCTCTCTCTCTCTCTCTCTTTTTCTCTCTCCCCGCGGCCAGCCTGCGCTTTCCCGGCGCCGACTGAGACCAGAGCGACTCGGAGCGCACGCTCGCCGAGGAAAAAATTGAAAGGAGCGGCGGCGGGTCGCACTTGGTCGCGCCGTGGAGCGAGAAGTCGCGGCGGCTAGGTCGCCGAAGATTTTTAGCGCGGTGGCCAATGCTTCCCGAGAGGAGACGACGCGCGCGAACGACGTGGCCAAACCTCGCTCTGACAAATTCAGGAGGAGGTTCCGTCTTATTCCCGCTCGGCATCTTAATATCAGGTCGATCGGGTGGATAGTATTATCAAAAAGCATGTGGGCGGGATCGGCTGTTGAGCGTCATCTTGGCATGTGCTGTCGGTTTTCTTAACTTAACTCGAGCTCCAGATCAGCTACAGAGCTGTTCGGCGCAGCAATCGAAAGGGAATAATGATGGGCGCTAGTATTAAGTGTCCAGATGCCGAACTCGTTCTGCTACCAGAGCTGGAACTAACAAAACTGTTCGTACTCCGTTATTTTTTGAAAAAGAGATGATGACCATGTTCTTAACTTTACTCGAGCTGCAGATGAGCTACAGAGCTGCGTGGCACAGCAATCGACAGGAACTCATCATTAGCGCTAGTATCAAGTATCTTGTTGCCTCAAATCGGTCTGCTACTAATATTCGTACTCGGCTTACTTTGTCTCCGATGATGATAGTTTTCTCTACTTGATTCGAGCTCTAGGCTGTATATGGAGCTGAAAAGCATGTTCTGAAGCAGAAGGTCACCAGATAAATTCGCCTACGGTATGGAGACGTCTGGATTCGGCCTGCAACCATAGCTGCGACTGGAAACTATTCGCATTGTAAATATTTTACGAGAAATGATGTGCGTTTCCTGAATTGAATTCGAGGTCTAGGCCAGCTAAGGAGCTGAAATGCACACCAATCGACAGGGAATGCTGCGAAGCATCAGTCTACAGTCTAGACGCCTGAGATCGGTCTGCTACCAGAGCGGCAACCACATAATCATTTGCATCCTTTTGATTGTTATGAGAGACGGTGTTGGATTTCATGTAATTGGAGTTATAGGCAAGCTAGCAAGCTGGGAAGCACACCGCTGAACAGAAAATCTGCAGACACAGCCGCCTATAATATCGAGACGTCTGAGACTGGTTTGCTACCAGAGCTACAACTGAGCACTCTGCAAGATCTTGCGAGAGATAATATATGTTTCTGTACTTAATTCGAGCTGCAGGCTAGATACGGAGCTCCGATATACACCAATCGACAGGATATGCTGGGAAGCGCAAGTTGAAAGCATTTAGACGGCTGTCAGGAAAATTGTAAATTCGAGCGCTTGCCGGGAACATGTAGCATTGCAGTTATGATCTGATCTTTAGAACACAGTAGATTCCGCGACGCAGTTGCTTGTCAATCGGCTTTGGCGACCTCTGTTCACGAGACGCTCGTCTGCACAAGCCATTATGGAAAAGCCCCGACGAATGTGCATGAAGCACTTCAGAACTTAAGGCGGCTCAGCTTCTCCGAAGGGGCCCATGTTGAGGACAGCTTGATCAAATGGGTGCGCGGAGTAGTAGAATGGGGGCTGCAACGCCTTTACTAGGAGCAGTGCCGACGCCAATGCGGACCACCAAGCCACACCGAGCGGCGTCGAAAAGAACGTCGGTATTCTGGACATTGAAAATTGGCGCCGAATGACAGACCAGCGTAGCCCTCATCATCCTAGGCGGACGCGCGATCGATTGTCCCGTACAGAGCGGGCTTGGAGCAGAGCCTCAGAATTTGATTTCCCACGCGAAAGCTCAAAACGTTCGCATGGGGGTCGGCGATCTTTGCACATGTCCGCTGGCCTTGGATTGCGCGCACAGCACGTTCAGTAATGGTGCGAAGTCCGAAGTGGATGCAGAAATCGACCGTGCAGCATCAGCTTGAGCAGCGTCCTGAAAAGAGGCACAGACGGCACAGAGCGCCCCCGAATGACCAAAAAGACGTCGCGCGTGGCAGTGTAGCAGACGAGCCAGGGCCGCGCTCGGATGGCGGGGACTGGTGACTGCGTCTGGCTTCGAGAACTCTTCTGCCTCTGAGTGGCCCTTTCTTCCCCCCCCCCGGCCGCCCGCGTTGCCTCTTCCCCCTCTTGCATGCTGGAACAATTCGCTTTACGGTGCCCCCGTCTACCTTTCGCTATGGTGCAGCCAACTTTGCCTCGCCGCCGACGGAAAAAGTGCCTGGGACGGCGAAATGGCGCACATGCTTGTAGGAGGTGCAGACGAGGGCGTCAGCGCGGGGTAGAGGTGAGCAGTGGAGGGGCAAGAGGGGACAGGGGCGAAGGGAGAGTGGGAAAGGTGGAAGTGGGGACGCACCTGATCACCCAGGGGCATCCTTCGGTCCGAGGACAACGATGTCGAGCCATCATGTAGGAGTGCAGTCCGGCATCTGGTTAAGAGGCCTCCCGAAAAGTTGGACCAGCGTTTCTTTACCAATTTGGCGCCTAACAGCTGGACCAGTTTCATGAGCACGTTCGCCCCTTCCAGCGTTAACACGAAAATTTGGCCCAGGTATGTTTTAAGCAGTGTCTGGGAAGTTGACCGAGTTTTCTTATATCAAAACTGCGTTGGTCTTACATTTGGTTGTATTATCGTCCTCCCCGTCTCCTTGCTCAGCCTGTTCCTACTTCTCCGTCAAGTCCGTCGTATCCTCTCCTCTTGCTGCTCGTTCTCCTCCTCCTCCTGGACGACTTAAACAAATGTCCTGGCCGCTGCGAGATCGAGGCGATGGAATAGCTAGTTAATGTGAACGAATCGTGCCATCTGAAATTTGGACAGTGGTTTCCTCCTGCTTGCCCGATTAGCAAGCTTCATGATTGTTGCTCCTGGTCCTCATCCTCCGCATTGTCATTCTTCTCTTGCTAGTACTCCTCATCCTCCTCATCCCCCCCCCCAATCCTCCCCCTCCTGCTCCTGCACGTCCGCCTCCTGCTACTGCTTCACATCGCCTCTGAGGACAACAGCGGAGGGATCCCGCAGGGCAAGCTCGCACTGGCGCACGAATATTTGAACAAGATTCTCAACGCTAAGGTCTACGACGTGTGCAAGGTAACCTCGCTGCACTACGCGCCTGTCGTGTCCAAAAAGATCGGGAACCGCGTGCTGCTGAAACGAGAGGACCAGCAGGAAGTGTACAGCTTCAAGCTCCGAGGGGCCTACAACAAGATCGTGCACCTCTCCGACGAGGAGAAGGCCCGAGGCATCTGCGCATGCTCTGCGGGCAACCACGCCCAGGGCGTAGCCTTCTCGGCGGCCCGGCTGGGACTCTCGGCCAAGATCTTCATGCCGAGGACGACGCCGACCATCAAGGTAGACGCGGTAGAGTCATACATCAATGAAGAGTCCGAGGTTCCAGGCCTCCTGAACGGAGTAGACGGGTCGGAGGATCACGCCGCATCGCCGATGCATCGGCGATCCGGCTCGATGCGGAGCCCGATGTTTTCCACGCCAACAGCGCTTGTGCATCGCCAGTGCATCGGCGATGCGCCGCGTCGGCCCCCTCTTTGTCCCCTCCCCGCTCGGGTGACCTATAGAGGTTATATTGCACGGAACGTCTTACGACGAGGCTTACGCTGCAACAATGGAGTGCGTGAAGAACGAGGGCCGCGTCTTGATACATCCGTTCAACGACCCTCTGGTCATAGCGGGCCAGGGCACGATTGGTCAGGAAATCTTGTCCCAGACCACCAAGGAAGACGTGGACGCCGTTTTCTGTTGCGTTGGTGGCGGCGGTCTTCTGGCTGGCGTTGGGGTTTTCCTCAAGACCGTGAAGCCTGGCATCAAGGTGATCGGTGTGGAGGCCATCGATTCCGCCGCCATGACAACTAGCCTGGCCGCTGGCGAGATAGTAGAATTGGATAGCGTGGGGTTGTTTGCAGACGGAGCTGCGGTGCGCAAGGTCGGCGACGAGTCCTTCAAGATTTGCCAGCTGGTTTGCGATGAGATGATAACCGTGTCCACTGACGACATCTGCAGCGCGATCAAGGACTCCTTCGTGGACACCCGCGTGGTGTTGGAGCCAGCTGGGGCGTTGGCGCTGGCAGGGCTCAAGAAGTATGCCCAGTGTTCTGGGGACAAGGGGAAGACGTTCATCGCCGTGACCAGCGGTGCCAACATGGACTTCGACCGCCTGCGATTCGTGTCCGAGCGGGCGGACACCTCGGAGACGACCATCGCGGTGCAGATCCCGGAGCGCGCGGGCACCTTCATCGAGTTCTACAAGTGCATCGAGCCGCGCAATGTCACCGAATTCTCCTACAGGTATTCCGACGACCCTGCCAACATATTCATGAGCTTCCAGGCTGCGTCCGAGCAGGATCGGCAAGAGGTGTTTCGGGAGCTCGAGAGCAAGGGCTTCTCGCCTCTAGATCTCAGCCAGAACGAGATTGCGCAGACCCATCTGCGGTACATGATTGGCGGGGTCGCTCCCAGTGCCGCAACTCAAGAGGAAGCCTTATTCTCCTTCCAATTCCCTGAGCGTCCCGGCTCCCTCAAACGCTTCCTCGAGGATTTGCCTCCAGAGTTCAACGTTTCGCTCTTCCACTATAGGAGCCATGGTGCCGACGTGGCGCGGGTCCTAGTGGCCTTGCAGGTGCCAGTCAAGCAGCGTGAGACGTTGCGCAAGTATTTAGAGTATTTGAGGTCCGAGGGATTCACTTGGACTGAGGAGACTGGCAATGCTGCCTATCACCGTTTCTTACTGGAGCCCGTAGTGGCGAATACATCTGGTCGCTCGCGGCCGCGCACACCTCCACCGATGTTTATGCAATGATCTAGGTTTCGACGTACGGTGGGGACGTTGGTTAAGGAATGTGCTCAGGCAGCTGCAGACCCTGGGGGTGTCCTTATCTGATTAGGGCGGCAGTGATTCCCATGGCCAATCTGCGATCAGAGCTCCACTGGCTTCCAGACCCTGGATTCCTTGTACAACGCTTCCGCATCCACTGCCCCCACCGTAGCTACCGTAAGCCTCTTGCAGTTTGCAGGGGCTGCTTCGGCACGTTTCGTGAGTTTCAACGTCGCAGTGTACGACCATCTGCGCAGCGTCCACGCGTCATATCGGAGGGCGGCAGCGAGCGTCACATCATCGTCGGCTCCAGCGCAGGGTCACGAGTCCTCAGCTCCTCGTGCCTGCTGACAGTGCGTGCTGGGCACTGACTCGGCATCGCTCGGACGTGTGCATTTCTTCCCGGCGAGGACCATCGAGGACCACCCTGGACTATCGAGAAAAAAAACACGCACGAAACCGAAAAATGCACGGAAAATGGACGTCCGAGCGACGGCAAGTTGAGGCTTGTCGGTTGCGAAGCATGGCGCTCCTCCTCCCCCTCCTCCCCCTGTTGATACAGGGGGCTATGGAAGACGTGGGCCATCAGGGGAAATCCAGGCGGGCATTGGAAAGGCATATTGCGACCTGTCACAGTCCATGTGCACGCGCCTCCACACTAGCTCACGTTATGATATGGGTGCGGAACGATTGATATCACGTACTCGCGCGTATGATCGTTTGTGCGAGTGTGTGTGTGTGTAACCGTACGTCTACATGAATGCATGTGCCTACGTGCGGACATGTGGGAACGCATCCCTCGACCATACACGTACACGTACAGTCTGAGGAGAATGGTTTGGAAATGGATGTTGCGTTCGGGTCGGAGCCGCATTATGTGCAGCTTCTTCATTATCGTTCCAGCGATACTCTGTGAGATCGGTGTTTCCATGCATGCGTGTCTGCTTGCTTGCATGTCAGCACGGCGCTGCGCTTCGAATACTACTCAAGTCGCCAGCGAGGCCGCCGACCAGGGTGGACAAATACCCTGGTCAGAACATGAGACGCACCTCCTCATTGTCGCGTCAGCTGGCCTGGGCTCGACTGCCTTTCAGGACCCCTCGACGACATGGCCAGAGAGATACGCGCCAGTCGATTTGGCAGTCGGGCCTCTGGTTAGACTAGCCCCTTTGCGCCAGAAGCAGCAAGACAAACCTTCACACATTGATCCAACCCAGCAGTACATGCTGGCTGCCGCTAGATACTTACGGCCTTCGGGGCCTAGGCTCTGACACTCAGTCATCCAGATGTCGGTGATGATGATGAGAATGATGATGATGGTGATGATGATGATGATGATGGTGATGATGATGATGATGGTGATGATGATGATGATGATGGTGATGATGATGATGATGGTGATGGTGATGGTGATGGTGATGATGGTGATTACGATGCTGATGCTGACGATGATGGTGATGATTATGATTATGATGATGTTGATGATGATGATGATCAGATACCTATCGTCGTCATCATAATCATCATCAACATCAGCATCATCATCATTATCGTCCTCATCCTCATCATCAGCATCAGCATCGTTATCAGCATCATCAGCATCATTAGCATCATCATCACCATCATCGTCATCGTCGTCATCATCATCGTCATCAACGTCAGCATCATAATTTTCGTCATCAGCATCACCATATCACACCGAAGAATGGGTCTGAGAGTCCCAAGCTACTCCGAGCGCGCTGGGACACGGCCAAGACGCGCTCCGTACGGCGCCCAAGTATAATCCACCAGGTGGCTTACGTCGACCCAGCACGCGTGCATTGTGCGCTGTGCGTGCTGGAAGTTCAAACCTGAAATGTGTACACATTTCACTTTTGGAGGCGTCCAAAGTTTTCATCCCCAATTGCTCTCGTCATGTGAACACCTGGGCGCTGGCTGAAATTCCGTTCGAGCCCCTATCTTCTTCGAGTCGCCCGACTTGGTTTTCCCACGCCGATTCTGGCATCATTCGCAGACCCAAAGGGCCAGAAGTTGTCATGTTCCCGCCTTCGCGAAATGCCGTTTCATGTTTTCCGCCTTCGCGAAATGTTGTTCTTCGTTTCTCGTCGCCCTTCCCCCCTCGCCCCCTCCTGACTCCCCCAACCTTGGTCTTCCCCTCCAAGATGCCTTCCACGACAGCCTGCACAGGACTCCAAGAGGCCCAAAAATAAGCTGCAAGAGATTCCAAAGTAGTCCTCGAAACTCTCTCGATATGCAAAACGCACATACCTTTTCGACCACCATTCGGGTGATCAGGAAGTTGGGAGGTGGGGAGGAACGAACCAACTGCTGGAAAATGCGATGGGTATGATGATGACGATGCTGGTGACGCACCCTCGAGTTAACGACGACGCGTGATGACGACGTTCCGCTGCGATGTAATATCACTATCGACCCCTCTGTCGATCTCACTCGGTCGATCCAACTATCAATCTCACAAGATCGATCACACTCGATCGTTCTCACTATAGATCCCAATATCAATCTCACCACAGACCTCGCTATAGATATCTCCCTTTAGATCTCACTCTCGATCTCACGACCGATGCCTCGATCGACCTCACGATCGACCTCACAACCAATGCCACGATCAACCTCGCTGTCGATCTCGCTTTGGATCTCACTGTCCATCCCACTCTCCAGCGACCTCATCATCGATCTCACCATCGACGTCACCATCTCCACCAAGGCGGAAAACACCACCGGCCACCGCCCCGCCCACCGCCGACCTGAACACCGACGGGACACCACCGGGACACCACGGCGGGACGCCACAGGAAGCAACGGGACACCCCCAGGACACCACGGCGGGACACCCCGAGCCACCGCGCGCCCACCGGGGGCGGAGGTGCGGTCCACGGCATCCGAATCGCCCTGGCCACGGCGGCGTCATTCCTCTCGCGCGCCCACGCAGCGTCGCCTCGCCCGCGCGCACGACTCGAACACGAAGCCGAAGCCGGTTTCCTGGCTGGGGGCTCTCCGTTCCACTGCGATCTCACCCCCCAACCTCCGATTCAAAGGTGTTACGCGTTTCTATTGTTCCCCAGTTTTCGGCTCGGGATGGCTCCGAGCTAGACCCCAGAGGCTTCCAAGAGGAACAAAGAGACCTCCAGGAATCCCCAAGAGAGCCCCAGACTGCAGCCCCAAGGCGACACCAAGACGCCCCCAGACGACCCCAACATCGCCCAAAGGCGCCCCCAGACGATCCCCAGGTTTCGATAATAGCCCGAACAAGTTCCACGAGAACCCATCCTCTCACTCTCCTCTTCCCCCTCCTTCTCCTCCTCCTCATCATCATCCTCCTGCTCCTCCTCCTCTCCCCATCCTCCTCCTCCTCCTCCTCCTCCTCCTCCTCCTCCTCCTCCTCCTGCTCCTGCTCCTCCTCCTCCTCTTCCTCCTTCTCCTCCTCCTCCTGCTCCTCCTCCTCCTCCTCCTCCTCCCACTCCCACTCCCACTCCCACTCCTCATCCTTATCCTCCTCCTCCCCCTTCTCATCCTCCTCATCCTTCCTCGTCTCTTTCTCCTTCTTTTCTTCCTCCTCCTTCTCCTCCTCCTCCTTCTCCTCCTCCACCTCTACATCGCAGCTCCTTCGTGCAAGAGGAATGGAACGCGTGCCACTCGTTACCACGCACATACACACGTACCTACCTATACGACCACCCTTCGGGTGATAAGGAGGATGTGGAGGGGGAGAGGGGGGGAACAAACATCTGACTCAATCGATCTCACTATCGATCGGGACACCACGGGACACCGCGGGACACCTCTCGATCTCACTATCGATCTCATCATCGATCTCACTATCGATCTCACTCAACGAGACACCATAGGACACCACGGGACACCTCGGGACACCACATCGATCTCACAATCGATCTCACTATCCATCTCACTCACTCAACGGGACACCACGGGACACCTGTCCATCTCACTATCGATCTCTCTATCGATCTCACTTTTTGGGACACCACGGCACACCTGGGGACACCACATCGATCTCAGGATCGATCTCACTATCGATCTCACTCAACGGGACACCGCGGGACACCTCGGGACACTTGGCGATCTCACTATCGACCTCACTTTTTTGGACACCACGAGACACCTCGGGGCACCACATCGATCTCACTATCGATCTCAGTATCGATCTCATTATCGATCTCACTCAAGGGGACACCACGGGACACCACGGGACACCGCGGGACACCGCGAGCCACCGCCAGACGGACGGACGGGCGGGCGGGGGAGAACCATGTGTCTTGACTTCGCCCTATCAACGGCGGACACCACGGGACACCACTGGACACCACGGGACACCGCGAGCCACCGCTGGACGGACGGACGGGAGCGAAACATTTGTCTCGACTTCGCCTTAGCAACCGCGGACACGACGGGACACCACGAGACACCACGGGACACCGCGGGAGACCGCTAGGGCCACCGCCCGACGGACGGACGGACGGACGGACGGAGAAACAGTTGTCTTGACTTCGCCCTAGCAACGGCGGACACCACGGGACAACACGGGACACCGCGGGACACCGCTAGGGCCACCGCCGGACGGACGGACGGACGGGCGGACGGAGGAGAAACATTTGTCTTGACTTCGCCCTAGCAACGGCTGGTTCATTCCTCTCGCGCGCCCACGCAGCTTCGCCTCGCCCTCACGCACGACACGAACGAAACGAAACAATTTTCCGTTTGGGGGTCTCCGTTCCATTGCGATCTCACCCCCAAATTTCCGATAGGTGTACACACGCATGTACATACATCAATACGAACACGCCCATACGCGTGGGTTCGACCCGCTATTGTCATGGCTCGAGGTCCTGCTCAAGCCGAGGAGAATTCGGATGGACGACGGGACGAGGCTGCACCCTCAAGGACGGTGCCAACACGGTTGTGTCGGTTGAGCTCTTGATCTTCAGGGTCATGATTCGCCGCTG